ATATATATATATATATATATATATAATATCGGCTATATAAAAAAAATCGTGTAATTATAGTACACAATTGCAGTACGTTTGGTATTTTGTTCTAAGCAATTTTCTGTACTACTTTTGAAGAAGCAACCATTAGATACCATTAATGTTCAATCCCAGAATGCATAATAAGCTTCTTTATTAAATTCTGGCACCATGCGTCAGATCTTTTTAATTTTGTACTTTGATTGATACCGAGCTTTATATTTTTTTTTCTTCATATTTTTGGAATTTAGTCAATTCCAAAAGGACAGGCATAACACTTTCATTTTTAAAAGAGGAGTGCTTTACATTCTCTTATACCATATGTTTTTTTTTTCCTCATTCAAATCATGCGATCTATAATTTCTGCACGTTTCTTCGTTCGAAATTGGCTACGTATGCAATCATAAGACCAGATGAAAATCTTATTAAAATCCCAAATATTTATTAAAATGAATGATAATACGGGCTCAAAAATAAATTGCAGCGGCGCAGAAAGGATTTATTTCAAAAATAAAGATTATCTCTACAAATAAAATATTATTCATTTTATGTTTTGTTTTTAGATCCCTTAATTCTATTTGACTATTATTTTCTAATCACGTAACATATTTCGTACAACGTGCAAAATTCATTTTGAAACCTACATAATATTTGAAAGACATAAAGAAAACTTATGAATTTAAATTATGAATTGTCCTAATGAATTTAGAATTGGAAATTTTTTGCAAACCCAACACGTATCATTTACAAATAATAATAGTAGCCATCATCAGTGTCAAATAATTAATTCTTACTTATTTATTGACAAATAAACACGTAGCCATAAATGACATTATGTTTGTTTGTTGATATCAAATTTAACGTAATATGTTAAATAAATTTATTAAACATTACATGCTGATTTTTAATTTGTGATACCTACAGCGGTACTGCATACCACATATAAAATATTTATTTTATAACATAAATATATTATTCTGTAAATTACCTTTGGTAAATTAAAATACATGCTTTAATTGATTTGCAGAAAATGTCATTAATTTCATTGTGTTATTTTAATATGGTATATTTTTGTTAAATTTATAATTTTTTAACTAAAAATTGGTGTGATTTAATTACTACCTCCTTCGTGTAATTTATGCAATCAATTATGACGGCCAACTAAACTATTTTTCAATGTGTTATTTCCACAATATATTAGATTAGAATATTTTAAATAATTGTGTATTATTTATATAATTGTCTATTAGAACATTTATTTTTATTATTTTATTCTGAATAATTAATATTTATGCGGATTAATTGTTAGTTTAATTTTTATTATGTACTGTTAGCAATATTCTTATTTTATGTCAGAATTTGTTCCTGCCATTTCCCTGTTTGTTAACGATTAGTGTTTCATTGTTACTGACTGGAGCATAAAATTCTTTTCCTGTGGGAATTGTCTGTGTCCCTTTAACTGATCTTTCGTATGCGGGTATTCTCCCATCTCTGGTTTAAGACTAACTATAATTTAACTAACTATTTAGCACTTGCAGATCCAGCTGTCTCCTTTAAGTAACTCTTTCCTATGTGGATAAAAGCCGGAAGCTTCTAGAATATCCTTTCTTTTTAATCATGCCACATACAAAATTGGGTCAACGACAGTTATAAAATAAAAAAATGAAATGACTCACTTTAATGAGAAGACCAACACCATAAATATCGCAGTACTTGTTTCCGATGAGTATAACTGTTCCCAATGAAGCCCATCCTGCCTCTAAGACACTAACGATAAGTTTCAGGTAGACTAGTGTCACAACGTGACGCCTCGGCTCTGGCTAAAAGAAACAAAAGTTAGTCAAACACATGCGTCTCATCACTCTTTTTAATTTCTAATGGCAAGATTAAAATACAATAAATACAAAGAGCCACATAGAGATCAAACATAAAATGAAAAAAACACAGAGAGCAAGAGAAACAGCTGTAGCGATAGTCTATAAATCCAAAAAGTCCCATGTATCCCAGTATATAATGGCAAGATTAAAATACAATAAATACAAAGAGCCATGCAAAGATCAAACATAAAATGAAAAAAAAAAAATAAAAAAACAAGAGAAACAGCTGTAGCGATGGTCTATAAATCCAAAAAGTTCCATGTATCCCAGTATCTAATAGCAAGATTAAAATACAATAAATACAATGAGCCATGTAGAGATCAAACATAAAAAAAAAAATTAAAAATAAAAAAAATTAAAAACAAGAGAAACAACTGTAGCGATAGTCTATAAATCCAAAAAGTCCCATGTATCCCAGTATCTAATGGCAAGATTAAAATACAATAAATAAAAAGAGCCATATAGAGATCAAACATAAAAAGAAAAAAGAAAAACACAGAGAACGAGAGAAACAGCTGTAGCGATAGTCTATAAATCCAAAAAGTTACATGTCTCCCAGTATCGGTGCAATAGTGATTGTTTGGTGAAAGATCGGTAAAAGATGAGATGGTCACCATTCCCTCACAGATTCCATCACAGGAGGAAAACTAATTTCAGATTTGAAATCCGCACTCCCGAATTAAGCAATATGTACTATTTGTATAAGTGCAACAAAAAATTTATTCTCCACTATAATTAATAAGACGCAATATTTCCACATGATAAAATTGATTTCCACATAATACATTATTTTTCGACCAATTTGAGGAATATCAGCGGTTATCACTCCACCCGAATCCGCAGATAATTAGAGATTTTTCCGCCTAGTAAGTTAAAATTATCCCACATTTAATCACGCCAATTTTATCTAGAAAAAAACGTGAAAAATGTAATGAAATGAGAGAGTTCGTATTTGAAAAACCATGTTCATTGTATTCAGAATTAGAATTTTGAGATAATTTTTGCTGGCTTAGAATTGCTTCCTGTCGGTGGAGCTTGCTTATGCTTTTAAAGGCTTGCACTCAAATAATTTGACTAGAGAAAAAGAGCCTAAACTAATCCGGTTAATGTTTCTCAACTTGGCAAAATTATTTTCGACATATTTTGCTATGAGCCGTAATGGCTCAGGGGATAGAGCGTTCGCCTTCCAATGAGGTGAACCGGGTTCGAATCCCATCGATGGCTGGTCGATATGAATTCCGGATCCCCCTTGCACCGACCGCAGTACTGACGTGAAATATCCTCAGTGGTAGACGGATCATGGGTTAAAGTCCCCTTGCCACAGGTTAACCGTTGGAGGTACTCGTGGTGTTCCTCTCCATGTAACTCAATTGCGGATTAGTTTCATCAAAAAGTCCTCCACGAAGGCAAAATTTCTCCCGATACTCTTGATCTGGATTGGGTTCAAATTTACAAGGTTACGTAGGTGAACATTAGCAAACGTAAACCTAAAAATTGGGTCGACTGTTCAACGACGGTTATAAAATAAAACATTTTAATATGTAAGAAACAAATTTCCTGAAAAAAAATCGATTTTTCAAAACTCTTAAATTCGTTGTTTTATAATTCTGTTTAAGTTTAAGTTCACTTTTAAGTTTAAATATTTCATTTCATTCTTCTTTAATTGGATTCCGTCAAATTGATTCTTTATTGAAGCATCATTTTATGTTATTATAAAAATAGCCTTCACATAAATAAATTTCATCTCTCCAATTTCGAAAATAATGTGATACGCTTGCTCAATTTTATTCAATCCAACCATTACTTAATGCAGATTTGTTTTTAATAAATAGATCATTGTGAACAAAATTAACTCAATTTTGTTGAGCACAATGTATGAAACTCTTGATCGAAGTAGAATTAATCACAAAATGTACTTTTTATCAATGGTATACGTTTACAAGTTAACGGTTGGAAATTGATAATGACAATTATCATCGGAAATTGACCTAAAATAGAGAAATAATCATTAACTAACGCTAAATGCATTATTAGAATTACATAAATAAATAATTGGTATGAAGCACTGCAGAACCATGCAATTAAACTCACATAAAGAGTCATTACGACATTTCGAATAACATAAGCTTTTTTTACAGTTCACGGTCTCTCGTTTTTTTAATTTTTTACTATGTTTTAACTAACTCGCTTTCGTATTTGTAACGATAAAAACTTGCAATCAAAATTTTAACCCCTCTCCGATTAACCAGAAGGCTCAAATTTCAACAGCGATTGTCTATTTGATGACAATACAGCACAATTAATTTTGATGTAATGCTACAAGCAGAATTTATTGTTATTTTATCGCCAATTAGAATTTACTGTCAATCACAATTTCGAAGCATTTTCTAATAGCTAGAGAATTTAAATTCCAACCCTGTGCACGAGGACAATACATGGGTCAATTGTTTCCTAACTGCTACAAGGGGTATTTATTGTCAGTTTATAGCCAAATAGACTTAATTAAAAATCAATAGTGCAGCCACTTTTCCAATAGCTAAGGAGACTCCAAACGAAACTTGCGAAAGCTTACATCACAGCCAAAAATTTCCAGTAGTCTTTGAAAGTGATGTGTCCTTTGAAAGTTTTCCAATCTCGATTCGGTAAAAACAGAATTTTCTCCTTTTAAATTTATTTATTATGAAAAACTTAATTTTTAAAATCACTTTTTTAGAACACTTAAAAAACGTACCTTTTAAAATGTTTACTTTCTTTTATTATTTCTTTGTTTTCTCTCACAATGGTTCTAAAACAATTTTAAAAAATAAACTGTTTGACTAATAAATAGAATAAATTCTATCAAGTTCATAAATTATTGGCTACAGTGGAAGAGTATACACTGGCGTTAGCATTTATAAATGGAAACATCTAGTCTATCGCAATTAAAGGAAATTATTAAGTTATTTTATTATTTTAATCATTTTGGTTTTGAGTTAATTCCTTGATTCTATTGATAAGAATATTGATTTGAATCAGCTATTCATTCTGATATACAGTCTATTGAGAAAATTATTCCATTGTTTTAGCAAGAATCAAATCAGATTATTCAAATCGAATTATCTCCAAGACAAATGAATCATATGATTCATATCTTATATAGGGATTTATGAGTTTTATCCATATAACTTATGTAAATTAATCCGTTTGAATCAAATATTTTATTGGTTAATTATGCTCTCCATTGCCCAAGGAAATTAAATTAGAGACATATAGGATGTTGCAAAAATGATTGGTGATCGAAAAAAAATCTATTAATGATAGGCGGAAAGTAAAAATGTGCTTTTTGCTAAGTTTCGTTTAGAAAGTCTATGATCTAATTTTATTTAATTTTATAACCGTCTTTGAACAACCTACCCACTTTATAGTTTACGGCTACTAATGTTCAACTCCGTAGCCTTATAATTTTAAACCTAATCCAGAAGACAAGGGAACTCCTGGATCAAGTATTGGGTGAAATTTACCTTTAGGGAGGACTTATTGAAGGAACTAACCCACATTTGCGTTACATGGAGAGGAAACCACGAAGATCTTCCACGGTTAGCCAGACGTCAAGTGAACTCTAACTCTATGAACTAATTGTTACCGTTCAAAAATAAATTCAAGATTTGTCAAAAGATGGCACTTTTGAGTAAATTAACTATAAAACAATGATTTGAAAACAGCCATGGTTTTAAACAATAACGTGGAGATTGAGGACAAAACTGATATACGACAAACTGATGAGGACAAGTATTTTCAGTTGAAACTCAAGAATAGATATTAGACTTTAAAGATTTAATATATTGTAGATAAAATAATAGTGAGGATGATGTATTACATTGGAAATTGAGCCTCGAGAGCTGAATATCACAAATAATGCAGAGAGCAGCCAATTCAAGAAATAGAGAACGCAAAGTCCTGGTAATGATATGTCCAATAAAAGTAATACATCTTTTTCTTGGCAGGTTGAACGCTGTTTCCAGAAGGAAAGGTAAATAATTGGTATCCATGCTAGCCTAAAAATAAAAATGGTATTTATAATTAATAATCGTAAAGGAAAAACTTATAATAATTGTTTGTTTTACTACTACTGTGTTGTTGTTCATCATCTCTTTTTACCTCCTTTATTACTCTTTTAAGTACTTTTACTTTTCCGTCATACGCTATTTAGATTTATTACTTAGGCATACGTATTTATTTGGATTCATTTTGTTAGGTTGTCTTAGGCAATAATATAAGCAATGTTGAATAATTAGTTTTATGTTAAATATTTATTAAAAATAATATTGTATTTTTGAAGAAATAAAAACTTACTTATGAAGTAGTTGTTTAAATTTATTTTTCAACCTTTGCTGTAGAAATTATAAACATTACCGGTGCTATGGTGTCACTTACTGTCATACTAGTTATGAGAAACAGAGTTTTCCATTTTCGAGCAATAGCACATATATAAGCCGTGGTGACTCAAGAGATACAGCGTTCACTTTACAATAAGGTGAACCAGGTTCGAATCCCAATGATAGCTGGTCGATACGAATTCCACACCAGGCTTGCACCGTCTAAAGTGCTGAGGTAAAATGTCCTCAGTGGTAGGCGGATCATGGGTTAGAGTCCCCTTGCCATCCGGCTAATTGTGGGAGTTTTTCTTGGTTTTCCTCTCCACGTTACGCAAATGCTGGTTAGTTCCATCAAAAAACTCCTCCATGCAGGCAAATGTCTCCCAATGCTTGATCCAAGAGTTCCCTTGTCCTCTGGATTGGGTTTAAAATTACAAGGCTACGGAGTTGAACATTATTAGTCGTAAACCCAAAAATTGGGTCGGATGTTCAACGACGGTAATAAAATTATAAAAAAGCNTAATAGGATATATATATATATATATTATGTGATGAAGAAGTAGTACAACTCGTAATGGAGCATTAGGAGGAGTTTCCTGTCTAATGTCTCCACAGAGATGGGAATACATTTAATACTTCTGCTGCCTTCTATGCTCATATGTCCCGAACTCATAGTTGCGGTGATTTATTTGATTTCATAGCTGCCGGGCAGATTTTAAGTTATTAAAATTCAATGCATAAGAAACTTTCACATTATCGCAGACATCTCTTAACGATAGTTAAAATTGAAATTATAGTACTTCCTCGAAGGCAAAACCAGCGAACAACAGCTAGCCAATGATGAAATATGGTTAATGTATTATAGAAAACTAATTAATGTGTTTGGATTGGAGGAGGGTGTTGAAGAATTATAGTATTTAAATACAATTGTGCTGTGCATTCACCACTAAATTTGATATGTTGTACAAAATAACTTTGAAAAGTGACCAGGCTGGTCGTCAAAGGCGTCTAGTCCTCAGATATCACCCAAAGAACCTTGTTTGTTTAATAATTTGGGAGCTTGCGCGTGATATATTGAAATATAATCCCTTTTTTATAATGATTTTGTATAAATATTATTTGTAAAGTTAATTTCTTCAACTGCTATGTTATAATAAAAAATTTCATTGAATCGATGAGTTCATCGATTTAATTTCAAAATTAAATATCTTGAAATATTATAGTGCGTATATAAATTGAAAAATTTTAACATTTTCAGTGAATGAAGAGAAAATTGCGATAGAGTATAAATTGAAATCGAACATATTAACTATAAATTCCAAAATTCCAATAAAATGCATTCAAGCTGTGATTCCACAGCTCCAATAAAACGCACTCAAGCTGTCAAATAAAACTGCAATATTCTTTATTGTTTAAATTGAAAAACATTTCTACCAAATACAAAGGTTTGTACGGCATTTCATTAAGAGGAAAAAACATATAAATTTGTTTCAAAACTGAATAAGAGGAGTTATTATTATTTTTTTCTATTTATTTTCATTATCTTTTCAATTTATTTTTTATACCTGTTAACTTGTGAGCAAACAAAAAAAGAAGTCAACTCTGCAAATACTTTTCGTTCATTTTAGAGATCAAACAGTGTAACTATATATGCTTTTCGAATTTTTAAGCAAGAACGATATAAATTTTAAACCAATTGTTTTTATAAAAATTTTAAACAATCTGTGATTGACTTCATTCTTTCCTTTCTCTTTTTATCATTTTTTAATCAGTGACCTTTTTCAAAACAAGGGCAACGTGTTTTCCTAAAACTTACTTTCTCGAATAAATTTCCGTATCTCAAATATCTTTCAAAATTCTTTTTACCCTACTGCATGTTGATAAAATTGCTCTTTTTCGTAGTATAAACCAATTCTGCTTTTGTTAGTAAACATTCGAATCGCTGTATGAAACAAAAATGAGGAAAATGTTGAATGAGATTACTATCATAGCACACCTTCATCAAAACATTCGAATCGGGAGCTTAATGAATAAAATTGATATTCATTCTATTTTGTCTACACGAGATTAGCATACAATTTTGTTTTTTCAGTCCTGGAGATTTTGTCAATGAAGCTTTCCGCTTAGTATATATTAGTTTTAGTGGCCATGCTTACACCATTCTGCTAAGTGTTAAATAGTTCTGCTAAGTGACCACTAACTGACCAAAACGATCCCAGTTTTGGTCAGTTAGTGGTCCAAAAACTTGATATGGTAGACCAAACTTGATAAAAAAAAATCAAACTGTGCAATTATAGAGTTTATGTTATGGTACATATCAAAAACTATTAATTTTCACCTATAACAAATTGAAACTCATTTGATTAATTTTCCCATAATGATTGCAGATTAGTATTTATTAAAATAAAGAGAAAAAATCTATAATAATATTAATAAATAGATTCAACATCGAGATTATACTGCTGAGACCAAATTAAGAGCTAACAAAAATATTATGCCGAAAATTAATAATATAAAAATTATAAAATTTTAAATAAAGTGAATTCTAAACTAGAAAAAAAATTATTATTTTATTGATGAACAATTATACTGTCAGTACATGAATGCAAAGCACAGCACATGTAAGTTTAAAATTTCAAAATTTAAATTAATTAAATTTTGTACCAGACACTTTCCGTTATTCCATTTGAATACTACGCTTTTAAATTCCATTTTTTTTAAATGCATGGAAGTCGATGCAAAAAGAAAAAAATTTTTCTTTACGATTTTGCTCCAAACACATTTCAAGGCGAAAAATTTGTCACCCATGCATTTGATTTTAACGTGAACATTTGACGGCAATTGTCGCCATTGTGGTGTAAACTCCATTTATACAGTATTAAAATATGTATAAACACGTGACTTCCGTCAAGATGAAACATCAAAAAAAAAAAAAAAANAAAAAAAAAAAAAAAAATAGAGCACTCAGCTAGAAGCATATATACTAATATTTTACATGATAATCGTTCAGTCAACTAAACTGAATAATTATTCAGTAAATAGTTATAGCAATATCTTCATCCATTCATGCCAGCTAGGATCATTGACCGACAGCACTTTCCCTTTTAACACACAAGCATTTAACGGATGATTAACCATGCTTCAACTATCGTAAATAGTATTTTAGAATTAGTCCGTAAAATTGAATTACAAGTTTAACAGACGCAAAAGGACATATACGAATTTTCATTTACAATCTAAGTTAAAATAATTTTTTCCATCCATTAGGATTTTTTATTTCTTAAACTTTTTCATAAAAATAGTTCTTTTTTTTTAATTATTTAGTTAAATTAGTTTTTAAAAAACAGTTTAATAAAAACTATCAAATACATTATTTAAATGTTTATTTTAGCTAGAACTAGTGTAACAAATTCAGCTGTGTGAAAATTTAGTACAAAATGATGGCATCAATAAGATGAGATTTTGTAAAAAGAAGTTACCTTTTTTATTAATACATACAACATTTAAATTAATAGAAAATAAAATAAATATTTAATAATAATGTATTAGTAGTAATGCTGATATTAATATTAAAAAAATCCTATTGTGAAATTTTTTTTATTGATGTTCATAAATTTTTTGATGTTTTTCGATATTATTTTTAATTAAATGAAAAAAATACTATGTATATATTTTTTTAATTAATAAATAGAAATATAAATTTTAAAAGATGTTAAAAGATTTCTGTTTTATATTTTTACTTCAGCTTAAATTAAATGAAATAAATATTCAAAAATATGTTTATGT